CTTACTGAAATTTTTATTTTGGCAGTTCTTTTTAATTTCAAGAGTTCTTCCTTATTCTCTGTTTTCCTTTTTTTATTAGCATCCCATTCTTGTTTTAAGGATATGATATATTTACAAATATAAGATAAAAGCTATAATTTTCTTCAATTCCCTAAATTATCTTTGTTCCCTCCAAGATGAGTATTTTTTTTTTAAATCTTTGCTTTTCTCTTTCACATTGCAAACTTCATTTTACTAATCCTTGGTATCCCAGTATGGTTGGCAACATAAAAGATGTCAGTATGCCCGGTATATCTGATCTGGGCTTGTTGATTGGCAGACTGATTCAAAGTCAGTCAGAAGCAAGTTATTTTATGGGGGTACCCCAAACGTCACTGTGTAAAGGTCTTTTCTCTGGAGACATTCAGCTTCTTTAGGAGAGAAACTTTTGCTGCTCTTCTGCAAAGTATGTATCTGGATGCAGGCATTTCACATGTCAGGCAGGCTCTGGCATCTTTACTGCTCTGACACAGACTTCTAACCAGTCCCCCAGCTGCATCCCTGTGCTCAATTCTGTGCTCTACCATGCGCCTCAAACACCAAGTTTCCCTGGGCTTCTGTCTTACTCCAGCTTCATAAATCAGTTATTCTCTCTTTTCATGTTCATTCTCCTTTAAAAAATGCATTCAAGCTCTTGTTTGACTGAAATCCCTTCTCTAGTTCTCCTGGTACTTGTGGTTTCATACCTATTTTATTTCTTTACTCTCATTTTAGTGGGCTCTTCAAAGCAATGATAAACACATGTGGTTGGTCCTCCGAAGCCCACAGCTCACCTATTCCTTCTTTTCCTTCCTTCTAATCCTTCCACTTACATTTTATCTAATCCTTGACTATAGTACAAATCAGAAATTGCTTTTTAAATAATTTATGTTATTTTTAAACAGGTTCATGCCCACATATTCTAAAGTTATGAAGCAAACAAGGTTTGACATATCTCTCCAAGGGAAGAAAAAAGAAACTAAAATAAGTTAAGATCAAAGTCCAATATTTGTATTTTCAACAAACTTTACTTTTTTTCTGTGGATCAGTGGTTCTCATGTTAGTTCCTTCACACTGTAGCAGTGTAGACACAGTACAGGACCCTTGCATTAGAGATCATTTTTGTGTGTTCCATAGTTTTTTTCCAAATCTATCTTTGCTAGTCACTTTCTTTTAGCTAGTTTAAGTGGATTGACTAAGATCGCCATCATCTATAGTCTCTTAATAATCTATTCTAGTTCTCTGCCTTGAAATCGTCCCTGCACCTCTTCCTGGCCACAAAAAAAACAAGTCTACCACATTTTTCACAAGACATTCATGGCAGCCTTTCAGATACCTGAAATTAGCAATCACCGTCCCTTTGAGGCATTAATCCCTCCTCCACTGGAACAGTGCACTTGACACAAGGGCTTAACATCTCACTTGTCCTAGGTAGTCCTTAACTCCGACTCAAAGAAAATTTTGCTTTTCTAGGGTTAACCACCTGGAAAGGTTACATTAAATTTGCTTTCCCCCGGTATTTCTAAGGTGCAAGTATTGTTAAGCTTTTCTATCCCATAACTAATTATTTGTAAGAATGTGATTTAGTAAATGTTACTCTTGATTTCAGCCTGTCAAACTTCAGAATTCTTTTTGATTTATAATTCAGAAGGTACTCCTCTCCAATCAACATTCATTAATGCCACTTGACAAATTTGAATCTCCTACCTTATTATATGTCTTCATGTGAATCAGTGATGATACTACATTTAAGAGAAAAGGGTCAAAGATGAAGCCCTGTGGATTATCACAGGGATGCCCCTTACGGTTGATGTCCATTCATCAGTCAATTTGATTTGATTTTAGTTGGTCAACCAATTACATCAGCCTTATTGTACTATTTTTTTCAACTGCTGTTTCTTCTTCATGTAAGCACAATAAAAAAGTTAGTCAAATGTCTTAATAAGGTCTATGATATTTACTGTTCCACCAGTCTAGTACACTTTTTATAAAATTTCTTAAGGTTAGTTTGACATGATTTCTTCTTCGAGAACTCAAGCTAGATATCACTGATAAGTGCTCACTGCTCTTAAAACATCTGTGTAATAATATATTTCAGGGAACTTTCAGTTTAACATGTCAGAATAAGGACATTTTTGCTTCCTTCTCCTCTCTGGAACCAACTAAAAACTGTAAGAAAAATGAGAGACAGAAACCGAAGCCCAGTATTTGATGATACGTGAAAGAATTTTATTGAAAGAATTTTTAATGCTAATGACAAAGAGTAAGGGCTCCTAAGTGCAGAAAAAAATGGACCAGGATGAGGAAGACACTGAGGATGCCTGCTCTTCTGGATTTCAGGCCAAGAACAGAGTCCTAAAAGGTGGGTGGCATGACCTAAGTGAAGAACCAAATGACCCTCGTCTTGAAACAAAATCAGTTTTCAGGTGGACAGTGAGATCATACTGAAACATTGTTTGACTACCATGCAGCAGAGGTGGGAGAGACAAGAAAAATTAAAGGATATAATACTACATGCACGCATGCACGCACACACACACACACACACACACACACATGCAGCATATATAGAGGGTTTTCCCGTGAGCAAGGGGAACATCTTGTTAGAAGCAGAATCAAAACTACAAGGAGTACTCATAAGAGTTTATACAGACAACAGATGACGTTTAAACTACTCATTCTCAACTACTCACTACTGTCCTACTCACTCAGTCCCTCCCCAAAATAGTATTCTCACACATACCACAGCTAATAAAGAACTCCTCTAATGCAACTTCGAGTAATAATTGAAAACAAACTAATATGGTACTGATGCAAAATATGTTGCAAAAAGAGGAAAAATGAGCAATAAAGGATAATGGAACAAGACACAAAACAACTATGGAACACATGAAAAATATGTCAACAGAAATCATAACATTAGTGTAAGCAAAAATAATGCTACCACAGAAATGAAGGCAAATAATAGACACTGGGAAACATGGTTGGAGGTATAGAAAGCAAGCTTGAGAAAAAATTGAGCAAAATGAAATGGAAAAGAAGAGTTAACAATTTTTAGGGAAAATGGTGTATATGGAAGACAAAAAATAGCTCTATGATATGCATAATCTGTGCTTCTAGGAAGAGAAAAGAATGAAGATATGTTCCTGAAACAAAGACAACTGTGCATCCATAGGCTGAAAGGAAACACGCTGTCCTAAGAAGAATACACACAGCTAGATGAAGATATATCCTTGTAAAGTAACTGGAATTCGTAAATAAAAGACTCATTCATATGGGCTGCTAGGCCATAAAATCAAGTCCCCTATTATGTAAGAGATGCTCAGGTTGGTTTTAAAATTCTTCATAACAACATTTAGTGCTAGAATTGAATATAGCAAGCAACATGTACGTGGATGCCAGAGATAGAGACTAGAACCCATGAATTGTACAGTAGACCAATTACAATTCAAGTATAAATACAACTGACAGATAATTTTACACATGCAAGATAGTAGGAAATAGGGTTCCCATGGGCCTTTCTTAAAGAAACTTCTAGGGGACAGCCTTGAAGTAATTAAGCACTGAATGGAAAAATGAATAAAATAACTATTTTGAGAAGAGAGCCCATTTAAATGTAGAACTATGACTAATCAACTATGGGAATTATGGTTACATTAAAAGCATGTAAATGTTATAAAACTTGACAGTGCAGAAATAATGTAAAAACAAAAGTTGGGAGATGACAGGACTGGTAGAGAAAGAAGGAGAGAGGAAAAATACAATAATTTCCTTGTATCTTATAGTGGGTGAAGGGTCAACAGACCCTGTTCATAGCTTATAAATCAAGTATCAGATGGGTAAATATATTTTAAGGGTACAAAGGTGACAACTAGATTAAGAATAATAAAACCAGAAGTTCCTATGGTATAGTTGATGGGAGTTAGTAGAATTAGGCTTATTCTTCATAGCTCATAGCAAGGAGTTATTTTCTACCTAAATAGTTAAAATCTACTCTAAAATTTCACCAGCTCACCAATCTATATTCTATGGAATGTATCTTTTCCTCCACTTTGAAAAGTCTCTATCATCTTTTCTCTTCTCCATGATTCTCCACAGAGTTCTGGAGTGGTTCTGGGACCACATCTACCAGTTCCTTTTAGCACTTTTGGGTAGTCTTCATCTAGATCTAGAAATCTGAACTCTTTTAAAGCAGCCAAGGACAATCTTGATTGCACTGTATTCATGTTTTATTCCTACCAATTCCAGTTGTCTATTGTCTTTTCCTTCCTTCCCATCCATCCACCAATGCAACTAACACTTCCCCTGCTTTCACTATGAGTCAGATGCTGTGCAAGGATGCTGACTAGTTAGAACGATGAGGCAGACAAGTTTCTGCCCTCCAGAAGTTCAGTCTAGTGAAAAGGCAGACAGAAGTCTCTAATACAAATAAATGCTTTTAATATCAGGTGCACCATCTCCCCTGTCTCCTGGAAGGAAACTAAAGCTATCTGGATCATTTTCTGGGTCTCAAAGAATAAGTACATTTCACCAGGCAGGAAAAAAAATAAAAAAGAACATTCAAGATAGTGAAAAATAAGCAAAGACACAGAAGGAATGATGACCACTTTAGTCTGATTGTAATGGGAACTTACTGGATAATGAGGGGCAGAGGTGGCCCTAGAGTTTGTTCTCTGAGTTGAAGATGGAATCCTCTCTTCTGGGTGACTTTGTAAGTACAGTGGGTCTCCCTCATGTCCAGCAGTATCACACTTAGGTTTGTTCCCTCACCACAACACACCAACCCTCCATGATACCATTTCTTTGCCCCTAGCAAACATTCCACACTGCCAAGAAGCACTCCAGTTGAGAACTGGATTGATGACCCCAGTGAATAGCACGCAGCCCTGGCCAGTTCCCACAGGCTGCAGGCTGCCCACTCCTGGCTCCAACACAGTTCTCTCAGGGAGTGCTTCCCAGCCCCCACCCTTGCTGTATCTCACCTTCATTTCCAGGGCCTCTGGCACTTTCTTGCCTTCCCAAGCCCAACTCCGCTTGGTGAAGTAGTTAACAGTGGCAAATTCAATCAGCGCAGAAAATACAAAGGCATAACAGACGGCTATGAACCAATCCATGGCCGTCGCGTATGCCACTTTAGGTAAGGAGTTTCTGGCACTGATACTCAAGGTGGTCATGGTAAGAACAGTGGTGACACCTGGGGAGAGAGAAGATGAGAACCAGCTGCCACTGCAAGACATTTACAGCATATTTGATAAGATCACCAACTTCCACCTTGAAAGGAGGAGCTATACCCGACTCAATATGGCCCCTTTAAAGTGTTAAAAACAGCGAATGTCAAAGTAGAATGGTTTTACCTGGTAACCACCCCATCCCAGTGATCACAGGAATGGGAACCTCCAGGAGAGTACTTCTAAAAGTTGTCCTCTAGCCTCTGCTTAAACATTTCCATTGAAGAATAGTAAGTTATTTCATTGTAAGAGACCATTTTAATTAGAAAAAATCTACATTCGCTGAAATCTGATCTCCTCTAACTCCTAGCCCACTGACTGACTGCTCTCCGAGTTCTTTCTCCAGCCGCACAGGAAAGCAAAGCTTACTCTCTCCTCTCCTGGACAGGCCTTCAGAGAGCTGGAGAAGTGGCCATGGTTCCTCAGGAGGACATTCATCTCTTTTGTTCCCGCTCTTGCAGTTCTCTTCCGAAGAGCCCAGAACTGAGCCCAAGGCTCAGGACACGGACTGAGCAGACTCAAAGCTATTCCAATATCTAGTTCTTGCTTTTAGATCAACTAATTCTTTTTCTTAGTGGCATTATTAACCTAAATTTAAGACTTTCCTTTATTCACATTTAAATTCTATTTTTAATTTTTTTTCCTAATCCATTCATATTTCAGATATACACATGAGCTACATAGTGTTATGGTTACAGTATGAGCTTGGGAGTCAGAGTGAAATACTGAAATTCTGGCAATCCCACTTACTAGTAATATGACCTTGACCAACATGCTTTACCCCACTAAGCCTCCGTTTCATGTGTGAAGTGTGTGTGATCGCATGATTCAGAGGTTTGTTGGGCGATCCAATGAGATGATGTTTATAAAGGCCATAGCACAATATCAGCAGAGTAATCTCACTCAACAGTAGCTTCTGTAATTAACATTACTTTTATTTTACTATTATTAACAATAGTGCTGTCATAATTACATAGTTAATTATCATATAATTATAATCACATTTTAAACAATATAATCTTATAATTATTAGCCATCATAGTCTAGTCCCAAATACTGATGTTGTAAGTCAGAAGTCCTGAGCGCTGCCACTGACTTGGTTGGTACCTTGGGCAATTTCCTCTGTGGCTTCATTCTTCACATATATGAATATTCCCTATAGTTTCTACCCCCCAGAATTCTGACAAGGTGGTTGCCCCCAAACTCATCCACACTTGAGGATGGGGGAGTAGCCAGAACCTCTTTCTGAGTGTTGGCACAGAGGAAGGGGAATACGTGCTGGGTCAGGTAGGGCAGCGGAGGACGCCCTCCTGGGCTGAGAGGTATTACATGGAAACACAAGCAGGTAAGTCCCAGTGACCATTAACTCTCCCCAGAGAGTTAGGCAGGTGTGTCGTAGCATCTGGGGCTTCCTCTCCTATTTTGCTTCCTTGCATACCTTCCTCATACATTTGCTCTATCAACGTAAACCCAGCCTGGGAAGGGCTTAGTACATTTCCAACAGAGGGGCCCTGCAGGACCACCTTTGCACAAACTAGGCCAAGAGCCATCAAAACTGATTAGCAAAAAACACTAAGCCCCTTCAGGAATCAGCCACATTAACAAACTATCTGAACGGTAGCCTGGCAAGTTCTGAGAATGGACACAAGTTTCAGTAACCCTCTGACCAGGCTGAGCAAGGAGTGATTCAGAGGAGAAACAGGTTACCTCATTTATGGTTTTGAGCAAATGCAGTTGTCCACCCTGGCACATTCGTATCAGCACGCCAATGCATGGATGGAGAGAACTACACAGCAACACAAGTGCTCCTGTGTCATATTTCAGTAGGGATTTGAGAGTCCTAGCCTCTAGGGCTGAATGAGAACTGTCATCTTGTTTAGAGTTCTTAGCCAGTCAAACCTGCTAGGATCTTTGGTCTCTAGCACCATAGTTTAATTTTGCCTGTTTTGGAATTTCATATAAAGAAAATCATATATTATGTACAATTTTGTGCCTGGTTTCTTAGTTTGACATCATCTTTGAGATTCATCCGTACTGTTACGAGAATCTACAGTTGTGAATCCAGTGGATGAAGATGCCACGCCGTAAACACCCATTCACTGTGGGTGTACATCTGGATGTTTTCCAGTTTGGGCTTTTACAAATAAGTGCTATGAACATCCTTGTATAAGCCTTTCAAGGATGTATATTTTTATTTCACTTGGGTATATAACCTCAGAGTGAAATACCTAGCTAGATCTTACGGTAAATGTATTTTCAATTTATAAGAAACTATCAACTGTTTTTCCCATGTGGCTGTACCATTTTACATCCTCACCCCCGCAGTGGATGTGAGTTCCAATTGCTCTTCAACCTCACAAATATTTGGAATTGTCAGTCTTCCTAATTAGAGCAACTTGAGTGTGTTCATAAAGATATCTCCATGTGATTTTAATTTGCGTTTCCCTGACATAAAATGATGTTAAGTACCTTTTCATGTGTTAATGAGCATTTATATTTTTTTCTTGTGAAATGTGTGTTCATGTCTTTTTCCAATTGTTAAAACTGGATTATTTATATTCTTGTCATTGAATTGTAAGACCACTTTATATTTTTAATTTTTTGTCAGAGCTGTACTTACATAAAATAAATTCTCCCAATCTGTGGCTTGCCTTTTCATTTTCTTAATGTTACCTTTCAATGAGTGGAACTTTTAAATTTTGATGCAGCACAATTAATTCTTTTTTTTCAGTTATTATTTTTTTGCACACTGAGAAATTTCTGCCTTCCAAAGATTGCAAAGATATGGTCTTACATTTAGTTCTAAGAGTATTTTATTATATTTTTAGCTTCTGCATTTAAGACCATGATCGATCTCAAATTAATTCTCTGCAATGACATCTTTGCCATAAATCACGTTTTCATATATGTGGAGGCTACACTTTTACTCTCTATAGTGTTTCATTTACTTATTTTTTTTCCTTGTGCCAATAACACAGTCTTAATTCTACAGCTTTTTGATCATTTGTGACAATTTGTCGGGCAAGGCCCTCCACTTTCTTCTTATTTAAGAGGATATTAGCTTTCTTGGCTCTTTATTCTTATGTAAAAAATCTGCAATCACTTTTTAAATTAACATTTTATCTTGGAGATCTCATATCAATGCAGTTAGTGTAAATAAGAACTCTAAACTTCTGTGACGGCAAGTTTGAATTAAAAAATAAATTTTAAGGAATCCTATGTTTTACACAGAGCCCAGGCCAAAACAGACATGTTTCCTTACTGCTTCCTTCATTTATTACTGTGTTTTTCTAGTGCCCTTGTGCACTGAAGGTATAAACCTTCAATGGTACTGGATTTAGGAGATGAATCCTTGTATTCATTTGCTATGGCTTATGTAAATTTGAGCCACGAATGTATGGCTTAAAACAACATAAATATGTTATCTGTGTTTCTGGAGGCCGGAAGTCTGAAGTCAGTTTCAGTGGGCTAAACTCAAGGTGTCAGCCGGCCTTCCCTGCCTCTGCAGGCTGTGGAGGGAGAATCCATTGCCTTTTCCAGCTTCCAGAGCTGTACAAATTGCTCGGCGTGCAGGCCCCTTCCTCCTCTTTCAAAGTCAACAGCATAGCATCTTCAAATCTCTCATGCTTCTTTCACCACATTGCCTTTTGCTCTGTAGTCAAATATCCCTCTGCCTTACTGTTCTAAGTACACTTGTAATTGTGTTTAGGGCCCATCCAGATAATCCAGGATAATCTCTCCATTTAGCTCACATCTCAAAGTTCCTTTTCCCATTAAAGGTAACGCGTTACAGAGTTTAGGACATGGACATCTTTGGGGATCTAGTCATCTTACCACAGTCCCAGTTCTAACCCTTAACTTCACTCAGGCTCAGAGCCTTTCTTGTGTATCCTTAAAACTCAGACTCTCATTTACCAAGACTACTAGTCCATCCACACATCTTCCTGCTACAACACTATCAGCTCATGTGACTAACACTCCAGTTTTCCGTTTCTTCTTCCACTTGGGCCACCGAGTATTTCTTTTAACTTCTTATGAGCTCAGATATTTAAAAGAATACTTTCTATGATTTATCAAGCCTTTCTGGTATTTGGGGGAAGTCTTTTTCAGGGTATCATTTGTTATATTTCCAAAGATGGGCATCTCTAACTGACTTCTATGTAGATTCTGCTCTGTCCCCTTCACTAAACTGTTCTTTTCAAGATCGCTAATGACCAAGCATATAACCATACTTAACAGTTTCTATCTGCATCTTACCTAACTACACAGAATTCACACCAGATGATTATTCCCCACTTCTGGAAACATTACCCTCTCTTGACTTCCATGATGTCACACTTCCTGGTTTGTTTTCTTTTTCCCTACTTCACAGGTTACTCTTTCTCTTCACTGTCTCCCCGTCTGCCTAATCTAAAATGCTGCTTCTTTCTGAATCCTTGTTTACTATTCAACTGCACAGTATAGCTTCAGAATATTAGTGCGCAATGTTGGCATCGGCCTTCTGTGTGGATACTCTCAGCACCTCCAAGTAGATGCCTCACAGCCACCATTGCCATGGAGTCAATTCAGGAGACTAGAAGAGTTAATTAACATTTGTCTCCTAAAAAATCTTACAGTGGGGAAAAAATAAGTAGAAAATGTTTTATATGCCTTAAGTCTCCCAGGGAAAATTGCTCATGATATGCAAATCTCTTCTTAGACATCAGTAAATTCCTATTGAAGAAAATTTCTCTGATCATAGGCATTACTGAAATATCCTTCAGACTTGGTGTAGGCTTTACTGAATATCAGATTATTCATACTTTCAAAAAGTCTAGAGGAGAAGCAGCAAAGTCAGATGGCCATACAAAAAAATGGGTCATAAAAAGGCACCCAATCCACTTTCCTGTTGTCAGCTTATTTCTCCATCTTTCACATCTCCAGCTCTGCCCCTAATTTTCTCTCTTCATTACTGAAAACCCAGTCCCTCCCCGGTTCCTGAAGTAAGCCTGACTGAGAAAGGAGTCATTTCACTACTCCAACACTCATATTTCCACTTCTTTCCTAAGAACTCAGCCCCCAAACACCAGGACCCCATGACTCAGCTACTAATGCTGGGCTCCAGTGTTGTTCCCAGTATCTCCTGTAATGGTTCATCCACCTTCCTCACCCCTATTCTGAGTGCCCATCATAAGACTTTGTGAATATTCCCCTGCCCTCACCCCCCATTTTCCATAAAACAACACTCACCAAAGACCGTGCGGGCAGGAACAGACTCTCTGTTGAGCCAGAAAGACACTTGCGACAGAATGACAGTCATGATACATGGCAAGTAGGTCTGGATCACAAAATAGCCAATTTTTCGCTTGAGATGGAAGTGGGTTGTCATGACGACATATTCTCCTGGAGAGAGAGTAAAATTAGGCAGTATGCAGCTGAATAAACATTGTTCAATCAAGGTGGGCCCCGATTCAGTTCACAAAGTTCCTTGACCTGATACTCAAAGCAAGACAACCCAGCACCTTCAAATCCACATAACCAGATCTCTGTAATAATCATGAAGTAATGCATTTTTTTGTGAAAATATATGCAAACAGTGTAGTAACACAGCTTTCTGAGAACAGTTCTGACATAAATTCATTCAAATAAATTACTGTCTCATTTAAATAATAATCAGAAATAATTTTTTCAAGAGCATTACTATGTGATCGGCACTTTTCAAGCACCTTAACATTCTTAACATATTTAATATTCACAACAACCTTGAAGTAGGTACACTGTTAGCCTCATTTTATAGGTCAATAAACTGAAGCAAAGATACTGAGCAACTTGCACAAGGTTACCCAGCTAGAAAGCAGTGGACCTGAGTTCAAGGCCAGATGGGCTGGCTCCACAGCTTACGCTTTCTAACCACTATGCGCCGCTGTTTGAACGGACTTACAGGGTTAGAACCAAAAGTTCACGTAGCACAATGTGGGCTGGCCTACATCACCCCACTCTAAAATAAGAGGGAACACTTATTGAGCTCTATGTGCCAAAAATCTTTGAGTGTCTTTGGAGTATTAACTTTACACCCTCCCAACAATCCTGTTAGGGACATACTATCAGCCCATGGTGTTACATCTAATAGTTAATTATCAGTCTTAATGGATTAGCAGCATTTTACATATTCAGCGTTCCATCCTCCTGGAATGCCTCTCTTCACCAAACTTCCAGGCCAAGGTGCTCTTCTGGTGTCCCTCTCCAGTCTCCTTTGCTGGTTCCTTTAAATTTCTAAATATTTGTGAATGTCGGGACTCACCCTTTTCGGTCTCACTCACACCCCTGGCATTCTCATCCAGCCTGTGTCTTTAAATGCTATGTTAAACTCTGTAACTCCCCAATGTATATCTTCTGCAAAGGCTTCCTCCTTGTGGGTTGAACTGTGTCTCCTGGGAAAATACGGTAGAAATCCTAACCCCAACTACCTCAGAATGTGACCTTGTTTAGAAATACGGTTTTTTTCCAGCTATAATCAGTCAAGATGAGTTCATACTGGAGTAGGATGGGCCTTAATTTATCATGACTGATGCTCTTAGAAAAACGAGACAGACATACACAGGGCGACGTGTGATGACATGTGATGAGAGCAACAGAGCCTGGAATGATGCCTACATAAGCCGGTGGAGTGCCAGGGACTGCTGGCCACAATCAGAAGCTAGGAGAGAGGCACAGCACAGATTCTCCTTCAGAACCTCCAAAAGGATCCAACCCTGCCAACCCCTCAGTTTCAGCTTGCTACCCTCCAGCACTAGAGACAATATGTCTCTGTTGTTTTAACCCTCCCGGTTTGTGGTATTTTGATACAGCAGACCAAGGGGGTTCCCTACACTACTCTAGGCCAATATATTCGATTACCTATTAGGCATCACAACCTGGGGATCTAATAGGTGTCGTGACCTAACATGTTGAAATCTTAGCTTTTACTCTCCCCATCTCCCACGCCTTCCAAACTGGCTCCTCCAAAAGATATTCCCATTTCAGTCAATAGTAGTTCTCAGAAGCAAAGGCCAAAATTGAGTTCTTTAAAACCCTTAGCATCATCGACTCTTCTCTCCTTCCCTCCCTCCCTCCTTCATGCATGACTCTGTACGGGTGCACAGCTGTGCACACACACAGATACCCAATCAACAAGCAACACTGACGGTTCTTTCTTCAAAATACATCCATAATTTGACCACTTCTCACCACCTCCACTGCTGCCACTCTGGCGTAGGCCATCATCATCCCTCACCTAGAGAACTGTGAGAGTTTTCTAACTGGTCAAGCTTCTGTACTTGTCCCTTTAATGCATTCTCAGCACAGCAGCCAACATGATCCTATTTTGCTTAAAGACTCCCCAGTGGTTTCCCAACTCTCAAATAGTGAAAGTCAAATTTCCCAGAATAGTCCCCAAAGTTTCATGCAATCAGATTTCTCTACTACCTTTCTTGTCAGAGCTTCTTTTTCACCCCTGTCCCTCTCAAAACCACCCACCTTTGGTTTGGGCAGGTCTCCCAAGTGAGGCAATCTTCCTCTTTCCTACCCTACCCACTCCTTTGTATCTAAGCCTAGGAAGCACCATCTGGCCGTCCAAAGCTCAATATACAATCCACACTGTGTGTGTACTCACATTCTACCTTGTTTATGTGAACATGAAAAATAAAAGTGGGTTCCTTTTTCATCTAGCAAAGAATTCAGTGAAGAAAACAAAATTATGAGATGTATTCTTCCTTGTAACTTAGGAGTTTCTCTTTTCTTTCTCTCTTCTTCTTTTTCAATCCTTCTATTTCTGTCTCCTGCCACTCCTTCCTCTCCCGGTTCTCCCCTTCACTCTCCCTCCACCGAGAAGGCACTGAGGATTCATTTTTATTTAACAACAGTTGGAATTTGATTAGCTTGTAATTTTGATAAGCTAGTAATTTCCCTTGTCCCCATCTTAGTCTCATACCACTTAACTCTCATCAGTCCTGTACCTGATAACGTGAAATATTTAATATATTAAATATATAACATCATTCATAAATTAGTTATATTCTGTAGATCTGAAAGGCAAAGCAAGTGGGCTTTTCCGAGGCTTATCAAATTAGCCATTTGTTTTAAATAACTGAATGTTTTCTCCAATACTCTCCTTTTCTATCCTTTTCTTCAATTTCCGTCTTTCTGTCTTTCCTCCAAAGAAGCAAAGAGAGTGACTAAGATCAGCAAGATGACAGAATAGGGCGTCCTCAGCTCTAATGCCCCAAGACAAAAATATAGATTATCCATCGACAAGAATACCTTTGGGAAAAGCCCAGAACCAGGGAGTAAGGCTTAGATACTCTCTTGGACCACAAAAGCCAAGAAAAGCCACGTTAGAAGGGTGAGAGAAGTAGTTTCACTTTGCCGCCATCTTCCCTCCCCGAAGCCAGCTCCGCGCAGCAGCGCCTGGAGAGTTCCTCTCGGTCTGTGATTTCTCCAGTGGGGAGAGCCCAAAGCAGACACCCAGCTTTCCCAGCTATTCCATGGCATCCCCCTAGAGGCCTATTTCTGCCTTGCTCCAGGAATAAAGGGGGAACAAGGCTAGGCCATTTGGGTCGGCTAGGAACAGGAGGGAGCGAAACTTACAGCCATTGGTGTGCAGATCTTGGCAGTGATACCAGGCACCTGCCAGGACCCTCGCCTCATCAGAGCTCAGCCAGCAGTCCGTCCTTGCCTGCACGAAAAACCCCTGCTCTAGCCTGCATCTCTTGACAAATAGATGAATACGGGTGAAGGCCCCCACCCCCAATAGCCGAGTTTGGGCCAATAGCAGAATTCCAGCAGAGGCCTCACCCAATAGGATTGGAGCAATCAAAAGGATCATGCCTCCTGGTGTTACGGTGCCCCGCCTACCGAAACGGCGCCGCACTGTCTTTGAGATTGCAAGTCAAAACCCGCTGCTGACTGCACTGTCTGGAGATGGGATACCTGCCCCCAAAACAGAAACCTTCACAGCTCAAAACCTTCTGGGTGCGCTGCTTGCAGGTAATGGTGACCCCACCCACCAAAATGGCAACCCCGGGGATCAAAGCCTACTGGCGCTGCTGCCTAGGGTTCGCAGCTCCCCCATCCCCAAAAACGGTTACCAACAGGGCAAAGCCCATTGGACACAAGTGCCCGTACCCACCAGAAGAACCGCCATCAGGGTTAAAACCTGCCCGCTGTGCTGCGTGGGGATCCCAGCCCCCCACACCAAATGATGGAGCAAGCCAGAGGCCGCTTGTGGTCCTTCTGATCAGGGGCACACGGGCCACTGAATCGTGAGGAAATACAAATTCCATGTAAGTTTCTTTGCCACCTGTAATCTTTTTATGTTTCTGACTTCTCTTTGTGTCTCTTTCACGCTCTTATTTTCTGCTTTGTCTTAACTATGCTACATGTCTAAAGAGATAATATATACAATGGCAATAATAAAATGTTATTCTAACAAATGGTCAAATTTCTAGGAAAGATGGAAAAATAAGATCATGCATCCAAATCCTCCTCTTAAATTAATGCAATAATATGCCAAATGAGGGAAAATGGAATCAGCACTGAAATAGGGAATGGTGTAAACATCTAGCCACAGATTTTGAGGATGTTCTTTCATTTAACCCGTTTGAATCTGGTACAAAACCCAAGGAGCCTCTGCTTAGAATTAGTTCATACTGAGGACTAACAGCATTCAGAGAGAAATCACTGAACAATATATCCTACAGATGTACATAAAAATTTCCTCATTCCATCTTACACTGCATAGTATTGAATTGTGTGAATTTTAGTATACTAAATCACCTCTTTCCTGATGTACATTGTATCATGTTTCAAAACTAATTTGAGATGTAATCTAATTACATCTGCAGTAACCCTATTTTCGAACAGGGTCACATTCTGAAGTACTGGGGACCAGGACTTCAGTATACCTTTGGGGACAATATAATATAGTACGCAACATCGGCATTGCTCATACTGAAGGGAACTGGCATGCTCAGACACTGATAATGGGAGTGTGAATTGTTTAAGCTTTTTAAATGACAATTTGTCAATATGTATTAAAAATTTTTTTAAGTGTCTACTTGTTGAAATAGTAATCTCAATATTCTGTCTCTATTCTAGGTAGATATTACACAGGGAGAAAATGCTATATTGGAAGGAGGTCTTCACAATGTTTATAAAATTAAATACAGAATATAATAGTAGATAATTTGCTAAATCTTGTCATTTGCAACAGTATAGTGGATCTCAAGGACACTAAGCTAAGTGAGATAAGTTAGACAGAGAAAGATGAATATTATATGATCTCAATTACATGTGGAATCTAAAATAAAACAAAAAAAAAGCAAACAAATAAACCAAGGTCATAGATAAAGAGGCCAGATTGCTGGTTGGGAGGAAGGGGGTATGAAATGGAGGAAGAGGGCCAAAAAGTATTAAATTCCAGTAATAAAATAAATAAGTCATAAGTAAATAGTATATAGTATAGAGATTATAGTTAATACTATGTTATATATATATATGACAGTTGTTAAGCCAGTAGATCTTAAAGGTTCTCAAGAAAAAAGAATTCTGCAACCATGTATGAAAACAGAATTTAATTAGACATTGTGGTAACTTTTCTATATACAAATATCAATCATCATGTACACATGAAATATAGTATGTCAATTCCGTCAATAAAAATTATTAGTACTAACTTGTGTACATTTGTATCCTGTACATTTAGTGACAAGAAAACAAGCTTACAGAATGACATTGTAAAGCAACTTATAAAATGGTATAAATAGTATGGCCTCATTTATGTAAAGAAAATGCAAAGGGAATCTTCTTAAAGGTTATACATCAAAATGTACAATAACCAAAATCTAATATTTTCCTAAATGTGGAATTACAGAGTATTTTAATTCTGATACTTTGTTCCTCTATGTATTTCTAATTTTCCCATTATGAACACATATTGGTAAAAAGTGAATAGTGGTTTAAGCAAATGAAATGGGAGCTGGAGCTGTCATAGCAGGTAGATAGCCAGACCTGAGCAGGGAGGGGGTTGGCGACTTTGGCCAGTGTTTACACTTGGTAATATGCTTGTTTATATTCTAAACATTTCATGTAAACTGTTCTTCAGGATGTGGGGAGGGAGGGGATAGATAACAGACCTGCCCAAACTGGCTTGTTCCCACATGAAGAAGTTGACCCTCACTTCACCTCCAATACCTTACATGCTCATCAGTATACTAAAGTCACGCTCCTTGGTGCCATGTCAGTCCAAAGCAGACGAATCGAAGACAAAAAGAGGGTGTCACCCTATTTCTCAGAAATTCCCTTCCTATTCCAAGAAAACTACAGCTATCCTGATGAATATCCTACCCCCTGCTTCAACTCCAACTAATACCACCAAACCTGAACTCCACCTCACTGCTCACCTCTGGAGCCTGCTCACACTCCCTCCTTGAGTGTGTACTTTTGACTTATTAAACTACTGTTTCCTTGTACCTGTTTGACCTGCTCCTGAATTATTTCTTGATCAGACTCAAGAATCCATTCCTAGGTTGAGGTCTCTCCTAACTGTACAGTAGGCAGATAGTTAGACATGAGCCAAGAGTGGGTGAGAGAGGACTACTGGGGAAAAGCACAGAAAGGCCTTAGCTAAAGCCACCTGGGCCCTTCAGCAATAAAAATCCGAGCTTTGCAGTCAACAGTTTGATTCTGTAACAGGAAAATGGTGACATTTGAATGCTATATGACCTTCCACTGGGGCACTCAACCAGGATGGGCATAATAACCTAACTAAGCATGTGCAAAACCTCAAGAACGGAACAGCGCCGGTGGGCCCCACCCAGGGATGGGCAAGGAATATGCGGGAGCAGCCAGCTCAGTCTGTCCTAAGAGGTAACATGGAGTCAGGGGAGGAAAAACCCCAAACCCAGGAAGTCATAACCACATAAAAACTTAACCCTTGTAATCAAATGGAACACCCCCATCTTGGGCTGCCGCTTAGACTCCTCCAAGGGTACTTCCTCTTCTGATGAACTCTCTGCTGCTTTCACTTTCAATCAGGTCTCTCCGCGGCATCCGCTAAATTCTTTGCACGGAGAGGACACGAATGGGGAAAACACACCATGACCTCCGGTGACACTAGCACCCAGTGAGATCTCCCCAGATTACACTGCCTGACAACACGCTATTTGGACAATTAATGAGAAGTCTCAAAGTCGATGCCAGGTGGACAGGGCAGAAGGGATAGCGGGCTGAGAGGAGGAAGTGGCCGCAGCAGCCACGGGAATTCTCTCCCTCCACCAGAGCTGGGGGCTCTGCCACCTGGGTCCCCGTTCCATGCAGCCTCTCACAGTGCTGCCTGGAACCAAGCCACCAAGGGTCCCCGCCGCACTACATGCTACCCTCACCTGCTGCCGGGGTCCACACTGTGCCGCCCTGCTCCGTGCCGCCTCACAGCATGCTACCCCGTGCCGCATGGCCCAGGGCCAAGCCGCGAGGGTCCCTGCCCCACAACATGCCGCCCCGCCAGGGTCCCCACTTCGAGCGGTGCTGCACAGGGCCAAGCGGCCAGGGTCTCCACCCCACAACGTGCCGCCATGGTCCACAACGTGCCGCCATCAGTGCTGTGCTGTCCACAGCAGAGCCATCAGCGTTGTGCCCCACAACATGCCACCCCACTAGGGCCCCTTGCCCAGTGCCGTGCCACCCCATACAGAGCCATCCCGCTCCGCGCAAGCAGGACTGCTGCCTTCCATGCAGGACCTGCTCTGGGAGCCTGCAGCCTCTCTGTCACAAGCTGGGGGCGGGAGCGAGAGCGGCAGGCCTTTGGGGTCTGATCCCTCCCCCGGGAGGACGCGGCACCTGCTGCTGCAGTAGCACAACGCAGAGGCATCCCCGGGAGCAGGACGCCGGTTTGTTTAAACAATGCCAAGGGCACAGTAGGGGCAGAATAAAACGCATTTTGTGCATGCAGGCACCAAAGGCTCCTCTCCCGCACCCCGCCTGGGAACCGCAGCAGGCCGGCCTGGTGAGAGCCCCCCACCAACCCCCCGCGCCCAACCCATCTCTCCCACCCATGGCGAGTCAGCAACTTTGGTCATGACCGAGAGCACAGCGCCGGAGAGGAAAGGACATGTCGCCTTCCCCAGGCCTACAGGCTCCACCCCATACCCAGGCTGCCCTGCGCTGCTCCCAGGAAGAGGGAGGAGAAAATGGCGGGTGGGTTGAGCCTGGATGTTAGCTGTGCTGTTTGTTGTAGAAAGGCTGCACTACCAGGAGGGGGCATCTGGGCACCAAGCCACACTTTCAGAGGGTGGCAGGCACAGCCAGAATCTGAGCCCAGATGCGGAGTCATCCAGCTGACCCCACATGAAGGTGTGGGGTGCTCCTTGGAACAAAGTGACCGAGCCCAGGTGACCCAGTACACTCATTGCATCTGGATACCTGGCCCCAGAGTCAGATTCACACCTGCTGGAGGGACTGGACTCTGGCAGTCGGGGCAGCTGCACGCTGGGTACCTGCCTAGCTGCTCAGCCTGGTCCAGGTGAGGCAGAGCAGAGAAATGGGCAAGGGTCACACCACTGTAAAATCTGCTTAGCCTGTGGAAAAGACCCAGCTTGTTCTTTAAATGAATCTATATTCTGTTTCCTCTTCTTCCTGCCCCTCTAACCTGGTAACTCTGTAGCCAGGATGAAGACGAATCTCTGGAGTGTAAATTAACTTACACAGGTGAAGAATGCCAAGATCCAGATCAACACAGTCACCTAAGGCTACAGAACAAGTCTCTAGGTTCCATTTATCAATATCCAAAGACTAGCCATTCAGAGGACCTGGGAAGTTTTGTCAGACATACTTGTTTCTGAGATGGGTGATTCACTTAAGAAAATAATTCCGTGGTTCATCCCTGGACCTCCTGGCCATGTAGCTGGCACCACCTGGGGTTATTAACTTGCTCTCTCAGCATAGTGGAGTTAAGCAAAAGTTTTCATGAAACCTGTAGGGTCAAAGTTCAGCTCTCTCTCCACAGTGGCTTTCCTCTGCCTTCTCTTTTACCACAGTACAGCCCTAATGCACTTGACCTTCTAACCCACTCTCCAAGAGACAGCAGGACCTTGAGGGTAAAAGCATGGGCTTGGACATAAGAAGAAAACAAATCCTACCGTTTGCAACAACATGGATGGAGCTAGAGGGTATTACACTCAGTGAAATAAGCCAAGCGGAGAAAGACAAGTACCAAATGATTTCCCTCATCTGTGGAGCATAAGAACAAAGGAAAAACTGAAGGAACAAAACAGCAGCAGAATCACAGAACACAAGAATGGACTCACAGTTACCAAAGGGAAAGGGACTGGGGAGGAGGGGTGGGAAGGGAAGGAGAAGGGGAATAAGGGTCATTACGATTAGTAGACAAAACATAGGGGGAGGCACGGGAAAGGCAGTGTAATACAGAGAAGATGAGTAGTGACTCTATAGCATCTTACTATGCTGATGGACAGTGACTATAATGGGGTATGTGGTGGGGACTTGATAATAGGGGGGAATCTAGTAACCACACTGCTGCTCATGTGAAACCTGAGCATAAGATTGTATATCAGTGATACCTGAATAAAAAGAAGAAAAGCAAAGCAAGGGCTCGGGAACCAATCTGCGTGGATTTGGATCTTGGCTCTGACATTACATAACTGTGACGGGGTAAGTTACTGAACATCTCTATGCCCTCAGTTCCCTGCTGATAACAATACCTATACCAGAGGACTTCTTTGACAATTACATAAGTTATAAGCACTTAGAACAGCAACTGGTATGTGGTACAGGCTACAAAAATGTTTGTTAAGTAAAATAAATAAATACCTGTACTAGACCGGATTATCTCTGTTCCAACAACGTGGCCCAGCAAGTCATACTGATTCAGACGAGAGCCATCCTGTGCCACTTCTACAGATTTGTTCTTCCCAAGAGTCCAAGAATAAACCACCTCAGCTGTCGTATAGGCATCTGAGGCATAAGAAGGTCAGGAATAAGTTGAGAGGAAGGCAAAATGATTATCCTTGGTACAAAACTTGCAAGAGATTGAAATATAACTCCCATCCCAAAAGAGTTTTGGGTATGTGTTCTGTCTTCAACTGAAGTGCATGTATGCATCTAATAAACACTCATTGAATAATAACTATAGTTTATGCTGGGTAAGGAGAAATGAACCCCAAGTGGTCTTTCTTCAATGACTCAGTCTTCTGGACTGCCAACAGATTGTTAACCTTTCCTTTTCTTGTATGAAGAGAGTAGGGGCAAGGAGAGGCATGATTAAAATATCAAATGCAGACGTCACAAATTCAAATGCCTACAAGAGGCAGAGAGCTACCTCAAATTAGTAAATCAGGTCATTTGTAAGAAAAATAAACTGCCAGAAATGTAATGAGATTTTCTTTGATTAATTATGGGGCGAACAGACAAGATAAGGTTAAAAAATCATGCTAAGGATATTTAAAAATTTTAAGACATGAAAAATCCCAAATTAAAAATAGCAATAATTAATTATTACAATTTTCTTTTGAAACTTATTAACAACTTTGATTTGCAAACCAGAAACCTGCCACCTTTTCTTCTGCACCACGGTGTTAATATCAGGTCTTGGATTTGGAGTGAAGAATTTAGTACAGATGAGTTTTAACAAGGGTGTGAGTAAGGGAACTGGGGAGGTGATGAGGAATGAGGTTATTCAGTTTGAGTCGATATCTTAAAGGAAGAGAGTTGCTTTCTTTCCAGACCTGGACTGACTCTTTGCACAGTGAGTTTTGAATGTGGGGTGAGCACCTTGCCCTAACTCAGGCACCTCATCTTATAAAGGGAAGCTTAGCACCATACTGTTTACCCGTTTCATCCAAGTTTTGCATGGTCTGTTGTTTGAGTCAGTGTGGGATCTCCAGCTCATGGTGGCAGCTACCATGCCCATATTATGTTCTATTTAAACCTTTCACCACAAAGCAAATAATTCCTGGTGAATCTACCAATGAACAAACATAAATTCTGTGTCCCTACAAAACTTTGCAATGTTGGATATACAGTTCATAGACTGACATTAACCCTTACTCATTCACATGTACTAACTGTGATCTTACATCACACTTCTTAGGACCTTTTTCATCATACCCAGGTAAACCATTTTCTGATTGCTTATAATAGGCAGCATACCCAAAAGTTCTTCATTCACATCAAAATGTTCACTGAAATCATCAAAAAAATACATGACTCGATGGTACTTTTTATATCTGTGCTCTCACAAGCTACAAAAGAAAATGCCACAAGAAGTCTAAATTTTCCAGATAATATTCCCTATTCGTGGTCTTAGTCATTTCTTCAACATATGGAGAAAAATATTTCTTGTTCAATGTATAATTGCTCCTGCAATTAACAGCCTCTAAATGTTATAGTGACTCAGGGAAGAGTTCTTGATAATCTTAATTATATGCAGTCATTTACTTAGTGACCTCCTCCAGCCTTATGGCTTTACATACCATCTGTATGGATGACACCTAAATTGAATTTCTAGTCTGAATATCTTTTCTGAACACCATACTTACATCCCATATAATCAGCACCCAGAAGCACTATTTGTGCCCCTTTTCAAGCACAACCCTGACCAAAGGTAACCACTATCCTGTTTCAATGTGGAAATTCCTTCCCAACATTTATTGGAAATATATATATATATATTTCTGAATGTCAAATACTGAGAAAAATAGTTAAGCAATCAGCAAAATGGAAAAGTATGATAATTCTCCTGTAAGAATTGAAGCTTAACAAGAGACACAGAGACCTTACTGATTTGAAGGAATCTACTAATGTCAAGTCAAAAGCAGGAGCAGAAAATGCTGGCACATTGAGCTGAAAGTTTTTAAATATCCAGGATTCAGTACAGGAGTAATGTTGATCTGATCAGTTGATTTTGTTTATGATAAATGTATGCTTATGGTGCTGTTTGCTCCTAATGGTGAGTCATTCTTGCAAATTATATATTCATAACTCTATATGCATAGTATATAATACATAATCCTTGTGAGTGTTCTTTCAAGAAATAAGTTTGAAAAGCAAAATAAATCCTTAAGCTGGCAATTTTGACTTAATTCCATGTACTGCTGTTTACTTTGATAAAAGATCCAAATGCTGTTCCTCAAATACTATCCAATAAAATTTGCCATGTTTTCCAGTATCTGAATGTCTTCTAAACACTACTGGTCTTTGCTAATTCTTCTAAAGGTACTATCTCTTATTTACTAAGAAAGCTGGATATCCATAGTCATGAATAAAGAACATGAAGAAGTTTTGAAATGTTTTATGAATAACATTTAATTTATAAAATTCCTGGGAATTCCAACTCTTACTCCTGAATCCCATAGTTCAATACGCCAGGAGTTTGGATACACTACCAAAAGCAATGATAAATAAAATATGAAAGACTTGTAACACCACACATCAATCTCTGCCTCACCCAAACATAACTGACCCTCCTTACAGCACGTTTATGTCTTCCTATGGTGCTTCTCACTTTATAACATACTTTACACTTCACTTTTTGATCCATTGCTTATCTTTCACCATCACTCCTTGAAATACCAGTCCCACAAGGGCAGGGTCTTTGTTTTACTGATGGGTGCATTCCAAGCTCCCAGAAGAGAGCCTGGCACACAGGAGATAATCTGTAAATACTTGACAGTAATTGAAAAAATATGTCACATGTAATTATTTGGGTCTTTCAAATGCACTTTCTACTTCAAAATACAGAGCTGAATCTAATTTATACATGATCGACACATACCTTGATCTATTGCTCTGATAACACCCTATATGAAACTTACTCTGAAACTCAACTTCTATTCAATTTTGATTTTTCTAATTTACTTGAAAATGGGCTATGTATCTACTCATTTCTCTGTCAGAATTATAGCTACTGGCAAAGGCAATACTCTTTAAAAGTGAGAAAATCTCCAGAGTCTCTTCCTGTCTACCATTTACTGTAGAGAACTAGACAGAGTATATAAGGATGCAAATAGAATAGGCATTTCAAAAATAAATACTTTCTGTTTGAAGGACCTTGCCCTTAGGAAGCTGCTACTATACTCTATATCAGCTCTGTCTTACTCTGTCTCCTGGACAATTTAGTAAACAGATAGTAATGTTTTAACCTAATGACAGAGAAATTCATTTGAAATGGTGAAATAAGGTTTGCTGTCTAGAAAGAAAACTCTAATAAAGGCTAAGTCTCCCTGCCTGATCAGTCAGTACTCTGCAACCCCATTCCCCTTCCACACTCCCATACCAGCCTGGGTTAAAGGTCTCAGCTTTCTAAACTACTAGGGACAAAATAGGAAGTATTCAGTTTCTTTTGGAATAAGATCAGGCAAACAGAAAGTGAGAAAATACATACAGCTTCCAAACTTCAGCGGACAGGCATGCACATCCATAGGAAAATCTTCCAAATGCATGGGACACTCGGCATGAATTGTTAACCTAAAAGAAAGGAGAACAGGAAATGAGATTAAGCTAAAATGAATGGTATTAAACACAGAGCTGAGTTCCCACTCACCAGCAATGGAGTACTCCTAAGAATAACAGAATTTTGTTTTATTTAGGTTCACTGAGATCCTAGTGTTTACGAGTGCAGGGAACAGATTAAATGAACTAGATAGCCTCTCCAAGTAGCATTCAGTAGTCGGGTTTTTAGATCAGATCTGTAACCCACCTTACTACCTTTACAAAAACCACACACACATACATACACACACACACACACACACACACACAGAAACTGGCCAGAAAAAAAATACAAAGGTAGTGTAGGTCATCAAAAGTCTCAGAGCTCAAGACTGAAGAGCTCATTCTTCTTTAACAGGGACAACATGTGGGAGATTGTACATGGATTCCTCAATGAAAATCTGGCTGATATATGATTTGCCATACCCCCATATTCATTCCCCTGCATTAGTTTGTCTAAATAATCTATTCCACGGCTTCCCTTCTGATTGCTTTTAAACTTTTTGAGCCTCAACTTTCCATGGCCTAGATAGTAGCTTGCACATAGAAATGGGACACACACAGCAAAAATTCAGAGTTCTTTAGATCCCAGCTCTGATAAGCTATTTCTAGCTAATCTGTATACCTCTTGGTTATATTGGATTTAATCCCTGCCATCTTCTTGGAGTTTTAGGTGGCCCACTGGCCAGCATCTCCAATCCTGGCTAATTGCCAGAACTGAAGAATGTGTGACACTTCACAAATGACCAGAGCAGCAATACTAGATATTGTTCACAGCAGGCTGGCTACAGCAGACGTGCTTAGGTGCGCAGTAGCAAGAACCCCTGGCTGGCAGGCAGAAACCACTGTGTACTCTTCTGTAAATACCTATCTCTTACTTTCAGTTCCTGTATCTAAACAGTAAGAGGTTGGAACTAGAAGGTCAGTGTCCTTGGAACTCTAATTAATCCCTTGGATATTTACAAAATTTTCCATGTGTCTTGGGCAAAAGCTCAATTCTCATGTCTGTCTACAAGAGCCCATCAATCCACCCTTTATTCTCAAGGCATAAACGGAGTTTCATGACTCAGAGAATCTGACGCAAGAGAAATGTTATTTACTGAGAAACCTTCTCCTTGTGTTGGATACTTAAAAGATTCCATCAGGGTTTAATAAAGAAAATTGTGGGGGCTTTTTCAGATATTTCCAGATACTACCTCTTATGAGTAATGCCAAGGGGAAATTTATTTTACATCTACCCAATAGTCCTGGGGACATGGAAAAAAAGACCCCAACAAATAGATTATCAAAGCAAAATGCAAAGGTACTGATTTCTGGTTAGAAGCAAAATTGATTTATAATAACTTTCCTATCTTCTTTTCCACACACTTCTTGCTCAACCAACCTAAGCACAGAACAGAGAGAAGAAAGCAGATGTTGGTAGGGGCAGTGGACTTCACAAGTCAAATCATGCTGTGCCCTTTGCACTAGTTCTTAAGTGCATCCTAATGCTCCCTAACCTGTGTCATTCTGCCTTCCCTTTTTGCCTTCCGTCCATGTTGCTACAACTTTCAAGACCCCTTGAAGCATTTTTTTTCCAGCAGAAAGCATCCTGACTGTACTCAAGCTAATATACTTATCACCATAATCTATGCCATACATAATCATCCCCTCCATATGTTCCTCCCACCTATTATTGTTATTACTATTATTTGACAAAAATACTTAACATAAAATCTGCCCACTTAGTGAAATTTTAAGTATACAATACAGTATTATTAGTGGGCAAAGGACCTGAATAGACGTTACTCCAGAGAAGACACACAATTAGCCACACATACACGAAAAGGTTCAAAACATCACTAATCCTCAGGGACATAGAGATCAAAACAACATGGAGATACTACGTCATACCTGTTAAGTCAGCTATTATTGAAAAAGACGAGATAAAAAGTGTTGGTGAGGATGTGAAGGAAAGGCCACTGTGCACTGTTGGTGGGAATGGAAATCGGTGCAGCCACTATGGAAATAGGATATGGAGGGTCCTCAAAAAAATTAAAAATAGAACTACCGTAGAATCCAGCCAGCCCACATTGGGGCATATTTATCCAAAGAAATTAAAATCAGGATCTCAAAGAGCTCTCTGCACCTCCATGTTCCCTGCAGCATACAGCAAAGGCATGGAGACAACCTAAATGTCCATTAACAGATGCATGGATAAGAGAAAGTGTATACACGCAATAGAACATGGAATAACAAATTCAGCCTTAAAAAGAAGGAAATCCTGCCATTTGCACCAATATTAATGAACCTGGAGGACATTATAGTAACGGAAGTAAACCTTTTTTTTATTTATAGGTGGAATTGATATATTATAGTCAATGAGTTTTAAATAGCCAAACTCATAGAAGCAGAGAACTTAACGGTGGTTGCCAGGAGCTAGGTGGGTAGGGAGGGGATGGGGAGGTAAGTCCTAGAGATCTATTTTACAGCAAATAGTCTTAAAAGTAGCCTTTTCAAAAAAGGTCAGAGTCCCCTCAAAATATGACATTGAGATTCCAAGGCTCAATCCCCGTCCAGGATTTGGCCTACTCGGATTCCTATGCCAAAACAGATGAGAAGCAAAAGGTGCAGGGACCAAGGGCAGGTTGCCCCCAAATTTGCTACTTTGGCATATTGATTATTTTGAATTAGCACAAGTGGAGAAACGCAGAAGCTAGAGGGATTCTCAGCCCCCGCTCTGTCTCCCTCACCTTGAAACCAGGAATAAATCTCCAATGTGAAATGTACCTTCCCTTTTTCTGGAGGTAAAAACGCTGCATAAAAAAATTTTGTTACTTTTTTACTAATTTACTACCCCAGTTCCAATGCTGTTTAAATTCCTTAACTAATTAAAGGTCCCCAACTGAAAATTTTCTTTGATTTGTCTGTTCCTTGCACACGTCTGTTTTTTTGTCTGTATAAAAGCTGCATGTCTTGGTCATTTATTTAGGTCTCAATCACATCACTGGGCCTCTGTATGTCTGTAATTAAACTTTGGGGTTTTTTTTACCTGTTAATCTGTCTCCTTTCAATTTTTTCGACCAGCTAGAAAATATCTTTGAGGGGTAGAGGAAATTTCTTCTTCCCCAACAGAGGCAATCCAGGCAATCCAGGCAATCCCTTCTTTGGGGGTGAAAGATACAGATGGAATACAGACGGGAAGGAGGCTTTTTTCAGCTCTGCATGCACATGTGCATGCACGTGAGCACAGGTGCATGCACACACACACCCTTCTCAATTACTGCCCTCATTTCACTGAGCTTTGCAGCATCCTGGCTCCCTTGTCACCCTACCCTTTGCTGCTCAACCGTTTGCCGCTCCATAGTGGTTTTTATTCTATCACAATAATAAGTTAAAGTTTTATTACTGTCATGCTCCCTAACTGGTCTCTCTGCCTTCACCCTCTGCTCTTACAGTACATGCTCTATACTATAGCCTTGCAGTGTTTCATCTCATACAGAGTAAAAGCCAAAGTCCTTCCCATGGTTTACAGGGTCTTACATGATCTTTTTGTCTTTTGGCTGGTTTCCTACTCTGCCCTCCCTTACTCACTCTGTTTCATCACATGGGCTTCCTTACCTCTCCTTCAACATTCCAGGCCCTTATATCGTGGCCTTTGTACCCGCTATGCTCTCATACCTCTTTCAAGTCTTTAATTATTATCTTGCAAATGGGGCCTACCCTGACCTCCACTCAGCTTGCTATCTACATTATGGCTAATAAACCTTACCATATTCTTTCTTTTCCCATAGCACCTAATATATAACATACCATAGAATTTATTTTTTCTATTTATCATCAATTTTTTTCTCTTTCTACTATAAGGTTATAGATTTTCTCTTTGATGTGTGCTGGAGCCTAGTACAGTACCTAGCACATTGTAGGTGTTCAATACATATCTGTTGAATGAATTGACGACTGAGTTTTCTCTCCTAAGACCATGAATTTCTACAGGAACTTGCAGAGAGGTGATATAGGCTAGGCAAGACAGGGTTCAGGTATTCCTAGGGTTACAGGCAAAATGGCATCTTAATATGATTCCTTAATAGCATAATATCTCCACCCATCCTCTTCAACGGGTATATAAAAGCTCTTTCATAGAATTTCAGAGCTGGAAGAGCCTTACAGCAAACATCCAGTTTTATCCCCTTATATATTTTACATATGATAAAACAGAAGGGAAATACAAATCTGGCTAGAAGATCTTTAAAAGAAAAAGGAAAAAAATCAGGAGTATTTTCATTTTTCAACTTCAAAACACCATAAAACTACAGTAATCAATATGGTGTGGGTTTGGTCTAAAGATAACAATACAGACTGAACAAAAAGAATAGAAATCCAGAAATAAACCTTCACATTTATGGCTAATTGATTTTGACAAAGGTGCCAAGGCAATTCAGGGGAGAAAGGATACATTTTTCAGTAAATGGTGCTGGGAGAATTCTATTGTCTACATTCCAAAAAAAGAAAGAAAGAAAGAACATAGATCCTTACCTCATATCATCACATCATAAGCAAAAATCAACTCCAGTGGATAATAGACCAAAATTTTGAGAGCTAAAACTTCTAAAAGAAATCAAAGGAGAAAAATCTTTGCCACCTTGAATCAAGCACCAAAAGCATGAAGCACAAAATAATTTTAAAAATGATGAATGCGTCATCAAAATTTAAATATTTTGCTCCTCAAAAGACAGCACTAATAAAATGAAAAAACAGCCATAAATGGAGTGACTGTATCTTTGAATCATATATTGATAAAAAAAACTTCTATACAGAATATATAAATAACTCTCATAACTCAAAAATGAGAAGAAAAATGGTCCAATTTGAAAATGAACAAAATGTTTAAATAGACATTTAATAAAAAGCTATTTTGTTGTTAATGAGGACATGAAAAGATACTCAACATCGCTAGTCATTAGGGAAATGCAAATTAAAACCACACTGAAATACTA